GAGAGAGAGAGAGAGAGAGAGAGAGAGAGAGAGAGAGACGTGGAGAGCGCGAGGGTGCACGAGCGGGAGAGCGAGCGCGGTCCTTGGGTGCTTTTTGTGCCCGCCTCGCCTGGCCCCTGCAGCCGCCGCCCGTGCCCGTCGTGCCCGTCTGGTTGAGATTTTGCTGATCTCTGTTGTACGCGGTAATTGAAACAAACATCATTCTATCCCAGCGAGCCCGGCCATCCGGTCCATTGTTGGCCGCCTGGATTTGGTGAAAAACGTTCGCGAAAACAACAAACAATATTGAGAACAAGAGGGGGGGGGGGGATGCGGGTGATGGGGCGAGTGCGAGGCGAGGGGTCGTGCTGTCTGCGGATTATTATGACGATTTTTTTTCACCCTATTGTTTTTTTATTTTTTTTATTTTGGTGAGCGCGCGTTAGTGGTGTTAGGTGTGTAAATGTGCGTGCGTGCGTATGCGTGCTTATGCGTGCTTTTGTTTCACGGTGTGCACCGTGTTTTGCGTGCTTATGCGTGCTTGCTTCTGCGAGTGCGTGCGTATGTGTGCGTGCATGCGTGCCCGTATGCGTGCGTGCGTGCGTGTCTGGAGGCATTGGGGCAATAATGTCCCCGCCACTACAATGCACTGCGCGGATGAATGATTGAGGAGGCTGAATGTTTGATGCCGTGACAGCGCTGCGCAACACCGAGTCCTCCTCTCGTGTGTCTGTCGGAGTCTCGTGTGTCGGAAGCGCACGCGGTGTCCCTCTGTCTAAATATAATTTTAAAACACTGAGAAAACTGAGCTCTTTCTCTGATTGGATTGCAAACATATGCTATCCGTTGCCAAATTCGCGTCCGCGGGGTTCTCATGTGGTTGGTGCAATTGACGCGCGCTCCGTACCTAGAGAAAAATGTTTTCTTGTTGAAAGTACATTTTGACAAGTACAATTTTACTCCTGACACAAGATGATATTTACCTTTAGATTGAGAGAAAGTTCTTACCCCAACGTAATACTGTTTTGTGTCGTGGAAAAGTTTAATCTTGGGTCACAGGGTGGCCACGCAACCTGGAAGTCAGGGAAGTCAGGGAAGAGTCAGGGAAAATAATATTGGTCAGGGAAGTCAGGGAAAAGTCAGGGAAATTGAATGTTGGTCAGGGAAAATGACTGAATCTTGCCCCATATTGTTGTTTTCAAACTTCCGGTGGCACTTTCAATTTTTTGGGAGGCAAAAAGTTCCACTTAAAATACATTTAAAAGTCAGGGAATATGCG